TCACCACGTTTCGTGGCCCCATAGAGCTCCGCGAAGGCCCCAGTGCTGCCCGCCCGCATGCGTCGCGGATGAACCCATTCGGCACTCACCCCTCACCCCGTCTCGTGGCCATAGGAGCTCCGCCGAAGGCCCCCCGTGTGCGCCCGCATGCGCACACACCCAATTTCGGCTCAGCCCTCACACGTTTCGGGCCCCATAGGAGTCCGCCGAAGGTCCCGGGCTGCGCCCGCATGCGTACGCACGCCCAATCGGCACACCCCTCTTACACGTTTTCGTGCCCATCCGAGCTCCGCCGAAGGCCCCAGTGCTGCCGCCCGCATGCGTCACGCACGCCCAATTCGGCACACCCCTCACACGTTTCGTGGCCCCCTAGGGAGCTCCGCCGAAGGCCCCAGTGCTGCCGCCCGCATGCGTCACGCACACTCAATTCGGCACACCCCTCACACGTTTCATGGCCCCATAGGGAGCTCCACCGAAGGCCCCAGTGCTGCCGCCCGCATGCGTCCCCCACACCCAATTCGGCACACCCCTCACACGTTTCGTGGCCCCATAGGGAGCTCCACCGAAGGCCCCAGTGCTGCCGCCCGCATGCGTCACGCACACCCAATTCGGCACACCCCTCACACGTTTCGTGGCCCCATAGGGAGCCCCACCGAAGGCCCCAGTGCTGCCGCCCGCATGCGTCACGCACGCCCAATTCGGCACACCCCTCACACGTTTCGTGGCCCCATAGGGAGCCCCACCGAAGGCCCCAGTGCTGCCGCCCGCATGCGTCACCCACACCCAATTCGGCACACCCTCACACGCTTCATGGCCTCATAGGGAGCCCCACCGAAGGCCCCAGTGCTGCCGCCCGCATGCGTCACCCACACCCTTTCGGCACAGCCTCACACGGTTTTCGTGGCCCATTCGGAGCTCCGCCGAAGGCCCCAGTGCTGCGCCCGCATGGCGTCACGCACTCCAATTTCGGCCACACTCCTCACACGTTTCGTGGCCCCATAAGGGAGCTCGCCCGAAGCCCAGTGCTGCCGCCGCATGCGTCACGCACACCCATTCGGACAGCCCCTCACACGTTTCGTGGTCCATAGGGAGCCCCACCAAAGGCCCCAATGCTGCCGCCCGCATGCGTCACCCACACCCAATTCGGCACACCCCTCACACGCTTCGTGGCCACATGGGAGCTCCGCCGAAGGCCCCAGTGCTGCCGCCCGCATGCGTCACGCACACCCAATTCGGCACACCCCTCACACGTTTCGTGGCCCCATAGGGAGCTCCGCCGAAGGCCCCAGTGCTGTCGCCCGCATGCGTCACGCACACCCACGTCGGCACACCCCTCACACGTTTCGTGGCCCCATAGGGAGCTCCGCCGAAGGCCCCAGTGCTGCCGCCCGCATGCGTCACGCACACCCAATTCGGCACAGCCCTCACACGTTTTGTGGCCCCATAGGGAGCTTTACTGAAGGTCCTAGTGGGTGTGCCCGCATGCGTTTCGCACACCATTTCGGCATGCTCTTCACACGTTTCGTGGCCCCATGGGGAGCTCCACCGAAGGCCCCAGTGGGTGTGTCCGCATGCGTCCCGCACACCCATTTCGGCACACCCCTCACGCGTTTCGTGACCCCTCACACGTTTCGTGGTCCCATAGGGAGCTCCACCGAAGGCCCCAGTGGGTGTGCCCGCATGCGTCCCGCACACACATTTCGGCACACCCCTCGCACGTTTCGTGGCCCCGTAGGGGGCTCCACCGAAGGTCCCAGTGGGTGTGCCCGCATGCGTCCCGCACACCCATTTCTGCACACCCCTCACACGTTTGGTGATATCATAGGGAGCTCCACCGAAGGTCCCAGTGGGTGTGCCCGCACGCGTCCCGCGCACCCATTTCGGCACACCCATGACACGTTTCGTGGCCCCATAGGGAGCGCCACCGAGGAAGATATTCACAATTGCGGTATTCACAATTGCATATGGTTGGGTCCTTCGCCAGGATAATTTAGATTTCGTCGAAAATCCCCCTGTAGGGGGACACGCCCGACATAAAGCTCGACCCAATCCAGCACTCCTGCTCCCCCTTTCTGCTGCTCCCCCGACTGTGGCCTCTGGCCCCTTCCCTCCTCCCTCCCTTCCTCCCTCTCCCCCTCCTCCCTCCCTGCTGTTCCTCCTGGTCCTCCCCCGCCTCCTGCTTACACCAAGGCTTCTGAAACGGCGGTCTGCGCTCCATCTGGGCGACCGGCACAATCGAGCTGGCGGCACAGATACCAAGCGCGGTTGCCCCGGGGCCTTCCCCCGCGTCCTCCGCCTCCTCCTCCTGCTTCCATACTACTCGCAGGGGCGTAGTTTGTTGTGGTAGTGACCCGCAAAAAGCCCCCAATGGGCCTTCGCCTTTGCCTGCCGGCCCCCATCACCCATTCCATCTCGGCGAGAGACCGGGCGAGGCACTCTGCAAGTCTACTTGGACCGGGTGTGCGACCGTTTCTCCGCCGTGATCGACGTGGACGACTGAGTGGCAAGAAGTGCGTGCAGGCGCGGCCGCCGTCTTTGCGGGGGTCAGGCGGCGAGAGGTGATGGGTTCGCCGCCTCCCTCTGCTCCTCCCCGCCTCCCTCGCAGGAGTGAGAGATGCACGTCGAACACTACCAGCCCCCTCCATCTTTGCATCGTACATCCTCAGAACATGCCAGCAACCGCCGATGACCTCCTGGCCCAGAGCGCCCCTTGGGCGATCATGGCAACGTTCAGACTTGATTTGTAATGGGAGCGCGTGTTCAGAGCCTTTCCCGAATCGGTGCTTGCAATGGAGGGGCCCTACAGTCGGGGCGCTGAAGAAGGAACCCTTTTCGTTGGGGAGGGGCTCCGCGTTCCTTAAGTGTTTCGCAGCTTGCCTCAGGTTTTCCTTATGTTTTCGATCGGAAATCGAAGTTCAACTCATGGACAAAAGGGGCCTCGTTCCTTATTTTGGGTTCCTCAGGTCAAGCCCCCGACTGTAGCGAATGTTGAACGATCTGGCGAAAGTGCCCGGCGGCCGATTTCGGCAGGCGGCCAGGTTCCCGGGGCCTCGGCTCCGGGCTCCCCGTGTCCCAGCTGCTGGCTCCGCCGGGCCGATCTCGGTGGGCGACGAGGTTCCCGGGTTTCTGGGTTTCCGGGTTGCCGGGTTCTCTGGGTCGATCTCCTCATCGATCGGCCTCATCGTCGATCTCATTGCCCGCTTCTCGATCGATCTGACACTCGAGTTCACCATCCATCTCACCATCGATCTCACAATCGTTCTCCCTATAGATCGCAGGAGCGATCGCACGATCGATATCACTGTCGATCTCACTGAATCGGCTGCACTATCGATCTCACGATCGACCTCACTGTCGTCCTCACTATCGATCCTACTGTCGATCTCGTTATCGATCTCACAGTCGATCTCAATATTCATAATATTAATTTTCAAGCCATCCACTGATTGGGGTTTTTCTATGGTGTGCACTCCTCCAGTGCCGTCCTTTTTGCACGTGTGGGTGGTAGACTCAGGCTCCGAAGAAGTGGACGCGGCGGCGATTCGCAGATGTCGGTGCTCGCCCTCCTCGCCGTATATTTGGCGCCCAGCGTGGCCCACAACATGTAACCGCAATCGCCTCTGAGGCTGGCCGGCCCCCCCGCAATCAACTGCTATTAATTACCAGCCTGGAACATATCCCTATCCCTGTGCTGGGCACCTCCTCATCACGATGCCAATCTTAGGGATTCCCTTATTCCCAACCCTCCTTGGTTGGGTATTCGTTTTGAATAGAGCAGTGTGGTCGCGTCCCTTCTCCTCCCGCCTCTTCCTGTCTTGCCTGCGGGGGGCTGCGATCTGCGAAACTGTCGCCATTTTCGAGGCCTGCTGGGGGGCCCAGCACAGTGAGGGCCACGCGCGGATTCAAATTAGACCTCGCCATCCCTGGGGGGCTGCGATCTGCGAAACTGTCGCCATTTTCGAGGCCTGCTGGGGGGCCCAGCACAGTGAGGGCCACGCGCGGATTCAAATTAGACCTCGCCATCCCTGGGGGGCTGCGATCTGCGAAACTGTCGCCATTTTCGAGGCCTGCTGGGGGGCCCAGCACAGTGAGGGCCACGCGCGGATTCAAATTAGACCTCGCCATCCCTGGGGGGCTGCGATCTGCGAAACTGTCGCCATTTTCGAGGCCTGCTGGGGGGCCCAGCACAGTGAGGGCCACGCGCGGATTCAAATTAGACCTCGCCATCCCTGGGGGGCTGCGATCTGCGAAACTGTCGCCATTTTCGAGGCCTGCTGGGGGGCCCAGCACCGTTTCGACCTTCCCTGGGGCTGCGATCACTGTCGCAGGCCTGCTGGGGGGCCAGACAGTGAGGGCCACGCGCGGATTCAAATTAGACCTCGCCATCCCTGGGGGGCTGCGATCTGCGAAACTGTCGCCATTTTCGAGGCCTGCTGGGGGGCCCAGCACAGTGAGGGCCACGGGCAGATTCAAATTAGACCTCGCCATCCCTGGGGGGCTGCGATCTGCGAAACTGTCGCCATTTTCGAGGCCTGCTGGGGGGCCCAGCACAGTGAGGGCCACGCGCGGATTCAAATTAGACCTCGCCATCCCTGGGGGGCTGCGATCTGCGAAACTGTCGCCATTTTCGAGGCCTGCTGGGGGGCCCAGCACAGTGAGGGCCACGCGCGGATTCAAATTAGACCTCGCCATCCCTGGGGGGCTGCGATCTGCGAAACTGTCGCCATTTTCGAGGCCGCTGGGGGGCCCAGCACAGTGAGGGCCACGCGCAGATTCAAATTAGACCTCGCCATCCCTGGGGGGCTGCGATCTGCGAAACTGTCGCCATTTTCGAGGCCTGCTGGGGGGCCCAGCACAGTGAGGGCCACGCGCGGATTCAAATTAGACCTCGCCATCCCTGGGGGGCTGCAATCTGCGAAATTGCCGCCATTTTCGAGGCCTGCTGGGGGGCCCGGCACAGTGAGGGCCACGGGCAGATTCAAATGAGACCTCGCCATCCCTGCGGGGCTGCGATCTGTGAACCTGTCGCCACTTTCGAGGCCTGCTGTGATCCCCGTTTTCGAAGTGGCTAGGAGTGCTCAGGAATTGTAAAACATCAGCTTTATCAAGCCCTTTTCCTGTAGCCAGTGTCCTGCGAGTCTCCCGAATTCCGTCTGCAGACATATGTAACCCTCGTTCCGTCATCGCCCCCTTATAAAGTATCCTAAACTATTTGCGCCCCGCTTTTGCGCAGGGGTTGGGTACGTCGCCAGGGTAATTTTTTGAGGGCGAATCCCTAAGATTGTCATCGCCTTTTGGCGTGTCAATCTTGGGGATAGGGATACGTTCGAGGCTGGTAAATTAATGCGACTAGGCGTACGAGTGTCGGGCTCACTGGGGTCTCCCGGGCCGCGGAGCGCGATGCGATAGCGGCTGCCTGCGCGCTTGGATTTGGCCACCTTGCGCTCCCACGATCCGCGCACCAAAGGGCACTCTTGCCCAGGGTCACCTTTGCGTGAAGCCGATGCATGCTCCTCCCCTGCTCCCCGCTGCGGCTGCGCCATCTCAGCCCCTCGTCTGAGCATCTGCCGCTTTCGCCAAAGGGGTGCCCCTGCGCCCAGGCGGTTGCGGGTGTGTCTTGGCAGCAGGCTCGCAGCCGGTCGAAGCTCTCTAGGACGACCGTGCGCGCCGCTGGGGCGGGAGCCTCATTTTGGAAGCGGCTCGCGCTCGGTCCCTGTAGCTGCTGGAAGCTTTCCTCAAATCTGTGCGGCGCGCGGATGAGAGCTGCATTTTGGAAACGGCCCGTCCTTCATCCTTGTTGCCACTGATGTGTCGCTTCAAGCTTCTTGCCCATGGGCGGTGAGGAGGTCTCGGGCGAAACGCGCGGCCCGTCCTGATTACCGACGCGTCTGTCGGAACGACGGGGAGGAATTAATTGGTTGCGAGGCCGACGAATTAAGGAGGAGGGAGAGCGGGGAGGAGGGGGGAGGAGGGGAGACGGGGAGAGGTTTGGAAGGGGAGGACGAGGGAGGAGGGGAAAGTATGGAGGAGGAGGAGGAGGAGGAGGAGGAGGAGGAGGAGGAGGAGGAGGAGGAGGAGGAGGAGGAGGAGGGCCAGTGTACACCCAAGATTCATCAACGATGTTGCAATATTCTCTTCAAGCTCCCTGTTCATAGGCCCCTACACGGATTCATTTCCACTGAAGGAAGTGCCCCGTTGGGAAACATACGTTAAAAGATCTGGAAGCGCGCCAAACATAATTCTCAAGATTTAAGCGCCGCGAATCAACTTGACTCTTTCGTCTTGACGATCTGGAATCGTGCCAGAGCGCCACCTGGGACTTCGACACCGTGACTCAATGTAGCTGTTGCGCATTGACAATCCTGAACCGTTCCAAAATATCGTTTCTGGTACGTTAACCATGGGAATCCGTGACCCCATTGCAATGTGTGAAAACGAAGGTGTGCGGCGCTAGTGCCAGAGCCACATTTTGACACATGTTGGAAAGGAACCGCCCTCAATCCGTGAAATTCTTGCACATTCGTAAAACGAATGTGTGCGGCGCTAAGGCGAGAGCGACATTTGGAAAACCACCCATTTTCAACCCGTGAAACTATTGTGATTTTCAAAACGACTGTGCGCGGCGCTAAGGCGAGAGCCACATTTCGAAAACCACCCGCCCTCAATACGCGAAGATCTTGTAGCATTTTAAAGCCGAATGTGCGTGGTGCTAACTAAGGCGAGAGCTACATTTTTGAAGCGGCCCGCCCTCAATTTGTGAAGCCGTGGCCAATTTGTGGATCATTAGTGGTAAGGAAGTCTCGGGCGAAACCCCGCGACCGGCTTCGGTGCGCGACAGGGAGGAGCTGAATCTACGGAAAAGGAATGGAGGAGGGGGAGGACGAGGAGGCGTCGTCGGCGGCGGCGGCGACGCGGAGGAGGAGGATGAGGAGGATGAGGATGAGGAGGAGGAGGAGGAGGAAGAGGAGGAAGAGGAGGAGGAGGAGGAGGCGCAGGAGGAGGGGGGGGAGGAGGAGGAGGATGGAGGAGGAGGAGGAGGAGGAGGAGGAGGAGGAGGAGGAGGAGAGGAGGAGGAGGAGGAGGCGGAGAGGAGGAGGAGGAGGAGAGGGGGAAGGAGGAGGAGGAGGAGGAGGAGGAGGAGGAGGAGGAGGAGCGAGGAGGAGGGAGCGGAGGAGGAGGAGGGAGGAGGGGGAGAGATGAGGGGGAGGAGGAGGAGGAGGAGGAGGAGGAGAGGGAGGAGGAGGGGAGGAGGCGAGGAGGAGAGAGGAGAGAGGAGAGAGGAGGAGGAGGGAGGAGGAAGGAGAGGAGAGGGGAGAGAGGAGGAGAGGAGGAGGAGGAGAGAGGAGGGATGAGGGAGGATAGATGAGAGAGGAGAGAGGAGAGAGGAGAGATGTCGAACAGGATCCAGGAGAGGAGAGAGGCAGGAGAGGCGAGAGGCGAGATGCGATAGGAGAGAGGAGAGAGGAGAGAGGAGGAGGAGAGAGGAGAGAGGAGAGAGGA